GGCAGCAACATCATGCTTTCTGAACTTTCTAATGAACGGCTTGATTCAAATAGAATTAAATGATTTGCCCTTTCTATTTTGTCAATGATTCAGTGTTGTCACAGTCACCTTCAAGCAACAACTTTAATGAGCATTACTGCAAGACAAAAATATACAGATGTGTATTTTTTTTTTTAAAGCTATAATAATACTATTTACAACAAAACTTAAAAGTCATTGCCCATTGCTACAAATGGGGAGGGGTAAAAACCATGAGGTCAGATGGACACACAGACTGCCGTATCTGGTTCTTCAGGTCAGGGGTGAACAGAAGAAGAGCAGATTCCACTGTCTGAAACAAAAGATCAGCATTACATTATATTCATACTAGAAAAGCAAAACATTGATTAGAAAAAAAAAAAGTAAAAAGGGTGAACCTGAGGTGACTCAGTGGAAAGCAGAGTTGGCACCGTGGGCAGTGATGTGAAGACTGAAAATTAACATTAATGGGATAAATGACATGCAAAAACCAGGCTGTAAAAAGTGTTACGGGTATCATTTAAACATATAATCTCAGACCAGCTATTATTCCCAGGTGAAATTCAGTTTGAGTGACATGCATGGGTGCCAGTCATCATACCTGCATCCTGCTCATTCACAGAGTCCTCAGCTTGACCTCTGGGACTCTCCAGATCTACATCCATCGCCATGGGTGACTCCATGGAAAATGGCTGCCTTGGTGACAAGCTGTCTCTCAGGGAAGGCTGCAGGTATCGCTCAAAATCGACACCGATGTCCTGAAAGATACCTGAATTACTGCAAGTGTAATTAGGAACAGGAAAGCCATAATGGAGGGCTGGGGAAACCTTTACCTCAGTAACTGAACTGTCTGGTGTGACTGCCACAGAATCCTGTGTGTTTAAGAGGTTTTGCACAGCTCGTGGGGTGCAGCTCACTGCCGGGGAGGACAGCTGGGCAGTGCAAGGGGATAGAGTAAAACTCAGGGATGTCGGCATTGGGGCTGCACATTCAACTGGGCTTTTACAAGAAGAATGTGGAAGCTGTGGACCCTGAATTAACTCAGATGTCAAGTGTTCAGCCAGACCTTCTTGCTCTTCAACAGTAATGGAGGGTATGGGGTGTCCACCTTCAGAAACCAGGTCTTTGGATTGTTCTATAGGGTCTGAAGACACTTCTTTTACAGAAGAAAAACACAGACACACACTGACTGTGCTCTGTGGCTGAGGAGTGACAGGCAGAGACTGTTCCACTGGTGCTGGAGTTTTGGTAACAGGATATGGGGCAGGGGGAGTAGTCATGGGTTGCTGCATTGTTCTAGTTTGACCAGGGGTCTGTGCCAACACTAGGGAACGTCGAGTTACTCTCCTGGGTGTGAGACAGTTTGAGGATGGAGAAGGTTGGGGCAGAACCGCAGCATTGAGGCGGCTAGACCTTCTCACTGAACCTATGAGACATGAGTCAGCTGTAAACAACATGTTAACATCAGCACATAGTGCAAGCAGAGTGACTACCTGATAGTTTGGCTGGGCTTGCATCTTGAAAGGAGCCTCCTTTGAAAACCACAGTGTCTGTGCTCTGGGCCTCTGACTGGGTGTCTGAGGTCTGCTCTGTGCTCTGGGTCCTCTCGGACTCTGCCGCCTGCTGTCGGGCTTTCATTGCTGCTTTTGCTGCAGCCAGACGAGACTTTGCAGCTGCCTTTGTTCCAGCAGGCTTGGAGGGGACTGGTGCAGCTGCAGGTTTCTGTTCAGTACAAATGTTTTTTTTAAGTTTTAACTTTTTTTGTATACATCAGTTACAGTACTCCATAAAAAACAGGATTTTCGGCAATGATACCTTTACTACTTTTCTCTGTCGAGGCACTGGTTTGTGTTCCTCCACCCAGCTGTGGACTTCTGCCTCTTTGAGAGCATCAAACTTTTTGTTTACATCTTCAACCTAAAGTTAAAACAGGTAAATTCATAAATCTTTCAATCATGTCCATTTTAACACTTTCGATTTTCCACTCTAAATAAGTTTTATTGCAGTTGTCAGTGAACAAAACTGGCAAACTAGGAACTTGCTTTGGCATGCATAACATAAAACAAAGAATTTAAAAAAATACTATAAACTTTTTTTTTTTTTTTTTAATCATAAAGGGCATGCATTCAAATAATATGAATTAAAAACAGACTTTACAAAACCAACCTGGAAATACACCATGTCCCAGAAGCCTTGCAGATCAGTGCATGTTGTGATTTTCTCGCCTCGGCCGAAGTCACAGTCGTCCACCAGACCACTGAACTGCTTAAAACGCTCCTTCATCAGCAGTCTTGCCTGGCCAACAGCTGTACGCATACGGTCCCTCACTGAATGCAGACCCGGGTTCAAATGGTTACTACACAATTTTAGGTTTGCTCGAGAAATATTGACTTACTTTCTTCTGGTATTGACTCATCTTCCACTTTAGACTCCCAGTGTGTGCAGAGACCTGTCAGTCTATTTGTTTCATTGGTAATTTCTGATCTAATGTACAGAAATAATAAAAAATGAAAATTAAGAAAGTAATCAAAAAAGTAATTTGTGTGTTAAAAAGGAAATGCAACCTGAAATATGGCACATCATGCTTTGTTTCCTCTTCTACTTGAGTGTCAGCTACTGTGGTGGGGCCTGAAAGAGGTGATCGGCGAGGGGATTTTGGAGGTGACACCTTGCTCTTCTCAGATTTAGGCTCATCAAATGTTGGAGCAGGAGGAAGAGTAAAGCTGGAGCTGTAAAGCATATGTTAAAAGGATATGGTAAATGCATTTTATTTAGCAGCCAATAAAAAGCCTGACTAACCTTGGTGTAAGAAAGGCGTCTGCTGAGCGAGGGGTCAGAGGCTCAAACTTAATGGATGACAGACCATTAGGAGCTTGGAACAGGAATCCTTCAGGGGCAAAAGAGGGTGCTTTGGGCAAAGACTTTGGGTCCTCATTATCAAGAGCAGGCGCAGGGACTGTCTGATCCACCACCATCTCCTCTTCATCAGTCTGGAGTGTGGGCCTGGGACATTCTTGTCTCTGCTCTTTCTCAATTTCAGGTTTCTGGATAGTTTCAATGACCAAAATAATAAATCATCACAAACTAGACATATAGAAATAGAAAGATTTACTTAGCAGCCAAAAACACAGGATAGGATTAAACTTACAGAAATGCTCTCCTCTGGAACATAATTTTTGACTGTATTAAAACCAACACAGCAATAATATTAGTAATCTGTTTACTGCTGTATAGATAGATGATGCAAAATGACAATGCAAAATAACATAATACCATTACGTATCTTTTCTTCCGTTAGAGGTGTAGCAACTTCAACCTCTTTACTCCTTGTTGTCCTCACATCTAAGGATTACATAACAAGGCATTACAAAGAACATTTCCGGTGTGGTCTTACAATCCACTGGTCACTGAAACCTAAACAGTGACACCTCTGACGGCCAGTGCTACATACCTGCACACTTGTCCTTTGGTTTGTCTTTCACCACAGGAGCCGCTGTAACTGGAGGCTTGTTGGCAGATCTAGTGGACAACCCACGTGTGGCCAGCTCCACTAGAGTCATGACAAACAAAACTATCATGATATCCACGCCCACTGTGAAACACACAAAATATTTTTTAACTTACCTTTTGTTTTGCACAAAGACTGGGCTGGTTTATTGGGTGCAACACGATTTCTGGTAGCCCTTTCTAAGGGAGGTTGAGCTTTAGAGAAAAAAAAAAGGGACAAAATCAGTCCAGTCCAAAATAATGTAAAAGGGTTCAAAGAAAATTTTGCAACAACTTACATTTCTTTCCAGCTGCATTTATATCCTGCATATTCAAAGGCTGAGAACAAATCAATAAACAGTAAATTGTATACAACTAAATGTAACTAAAATAGATTTTAAAAAAAACAAAAACAAAAAAACACATTTTGTACCTGCTGCTGCCTCATAGATCGAGTCACTCTTGTACACTGGGCTGGAGCTACATGTGTTTTTGTCTAATTGAAAGACAAGGAGCAGCATAAATTAAACTCGGAGGATCTATGAATGATGTGTGTAAGGTGGTAATTACACCTAAGACTCACCTCCTTAGATCTCCCAGGGGCAGCTGGGACAGGAGGCAGAGGGACAATATTCAGTGCATCTTTAGGACGATACAGACCCGTCTTAAAAACTCCTTTACGGGCTTTTTCTCTCTGTTCCTTTTCTTTCTCAAGAGCCTTGCGCTCTTGCCAACGCTGAAGCTGCTTAAGTCTGTCCTCCCCAGCCACATCTTCTAAATATGTTAAAATTCACAATATTAAATTTTGTTCATACATAAGTATTCCTGTGACAAAGGAACTGAAAAGTGCTTTACTTTTTGGCAGCGGAGTGTTTTTCTTTTTTTCTTGAATAACGGACATGTTTGCCATTGCAACGGAAGCATCCAGCGCTGAGATCTCCAGCTCCTGGAGGGCATCGAGCTGCCTGCGGTTGTTGACGATGCGCTCGCGGTTCTCTTTCTGGGACTGAGACCTTCTTCGGGACATTTTGACTCTCAACATTGAGACACTGTTGTCCCGCTGACGCAGGTGAGCGAACCGAGACGCCATGTTTACCGTCTGTCGATAATTGAGAAACGCATGTTAATCAAGTTGTTATAAATGTTTCCATAGCAAATTTATTTCTGCAATAACACAAGAACAAACTAAATAGGGATCAAGCAAACCGACAAAAGATACATAAATCTAGTTTAAGTTCGCAAAGAAAACGGAGTTAGCTAGCGAAGAAGATACAACAATTTTGAAGTAATCACGCATGAGTCGACTCATTCACTTTACCTTTGTGTGCCAATTTATTCTTTAAAAAAACAAACCAAAAAAATCTTGATATGTCCCGTACAAAACTTGCTGCCTAACGCACAGGCGTACAGACTTCCCAAAGTACAAACAATCATGGCGGGTGAGTTTTTGAAACTGTAATTAAAAGGCGCTGATTGGCTAACAGTCACAAGAAACCGTTGTGCTGATTGGTTCATACACAGTTCGGCTGCATACTGCCTCCTTGTGGGCTTTGATGGTATAGGCGTTTAATTCTGTACGTTAACGTCCAAATGCAGAACCTCTTTGATAAGCTCTACATCAAAGGCCAAGAATTATGCCTAAAGAGCAGATAGCATAATTTCATGATCAGGACCATTAAACATTTTTATCCTATTGCAGGCATTGCGAAGACAAACAAAAGAACCTTATAATTATGTAAATATGGTTGCATGGGGGGAAAAAAAACAAAAAATATTAAGGCGTTTTTTAAGAATTATTGAAAGTGATGTTATTTTGCAAAAGGTCACATACATTGTAATGCAATGAAATCTTTCTACTTTATGATATTAAAACAGTGCAAGTAGAAGAACATCCAAAATATTGACCTTCAAATATATACCATATATAAATCAATTTATTATTGGTGCAGTTGTTTGACAGTAACCACAGCATACATCCCAATGTTCCTAAAATTGAACTACGGTGTCAGTTTAAAATACTTTTTTATTTTTTTTTAATGTTGATGATTTTATTTAAAAAAAAGAAAATTAAACAAAACAAAAACTACAACAGCAATCAAAGTTAGCAATTAACAAATTCCTTCCTGTATGTACAAAGCAATATAAAGGAAACATGTACAGTAAAAATCTGCATTTGTACACTTAATTACAAGGCAATATTACAATTTTATATTAAATAAAAGCTGAAGGAAAATTTTAATTTCTGTATTTCCAATGCAATTATTGCATTCCACAGATGTTGTGTCCCTATCCACTCTTTCAGTCCAAGAAGAAAATGTTGTTAAACTGTGTCGCACAAAGTCTCTTCACCTCCTCTGCAAGAAAGAAAAGGTTATCAACACACACACTCAAAAAAATCTAATATAATTTAACAATTAAGAAATGGGATATAAATATCATTGTGTATACATACCATTTACTTCTATTAAATTAGCATTCTTCTGGTTCAGGATCACATAAAGCTCTCTCTGGTCTGACTTCTTGCCCACTACCCAGTAGTCTGTCATAGCTTTTACAATGATTTCTTCATCTTCATCCACTCTGTCAAATATAAATCAGACATTATTAGTATTAAATAACCAACATAAAAAATATGTAGTTATTGTTGTGGATTCTCTTTGAAGTAATGCCATGTAGTCTAATGAACCTTGCAAAGTCACAGTTGATATCTCCGAGGATCTTCATGAGGTCTGGGTGCACAGAGGTGAGGCAGACGCTGGCCGTCTTTCTCATGTGGATAGTGCTTTTCTCTGCCAGGTTCATGTGATTGAAGTAGATAAACTTAAACTGGGGTTCTTTTTCTGTCCTAAGACATAGAGAAAAATCACATGGTTAAAAAGTGGCAAGCTTTTCTTCAACACATACATTTTCCCACTGCAATGCCAAATCAGGATTTACCCACTAACATTTGGGACAGCATCATTTATTCATGTGATTCCTCTGCACAGTGATTGAAATAAGATGATCAAATCACCAGGACTAGTGTCTTGAATTACAGAACTGGAAGATCTGAATCCAACTGTTGGGGTTAAAGAGACTACTCGACCAATCTGCAAAGGTGCACTGCTTGAGTTTCCTTAAGTAGCATCAAGACGATACTCAGTGGTACGTCTAGTCTGTCACTGCCAGCCAGCCGTCAATAAACAGACAGTGTAGTGATCCTGCAGTGACTGTCTGCATATATTGGTCAAGAGCACTGTCTGAACCAAACCCCCACAATGACCTTTACTGCTCTGAGATAGAATAAACAATACCAACTGCTGCCACAAGGGGTCAGTAAATCATTTTTAGTTTCATTAAGCTTCTGGCTAAAGGAAATTAACCCTTGAACTAGATGTGACATAAAATTTGGATATTATATTATGTTATTGTCATTACAATATAGAGCCAATATAATGAAATCCTTACAAGATAGAGGTTTTTTAATCAACTGAAACTGTATACATGAATGGAATCTCCCATCCTATATGAATACATGATTAGTCAAGAACATTACTGCTACTGAGATACCGCTTTGGGTCACTGGTTTTATGGTTAGATGTGACTGTCAAAGGTGACTGTGAATAATGACAGGGGTGGATGTGGGCTCACCCTGAAATCCTGCGGTTAATTGTGAACTGCTCACAAATATCTGATGCCAGTAAAGTGAGCTGCGGTCCCACTAGGCTGTCTAGTTGCTCACAGAACTCACGTGTTAGCTCCACGGAAGCTAAAGGACATAAAATAGAACAACATAAATGTGGATCAATGGTAGAAATATGATTGTAATTACCAAGCAAGTCAGCACTCACCACTTATCATAAAACAGGCAGCTGCACTCATAGCCTGAAAAATAGCGCACATTGGTGGAGATTAAAAAGAAATTCAAGGTCAAAAGAGGCTGGAAATTATATTAATGTGAACGACAAGGATTGAGGCTTGCTTTTCATCACTATAAAATTCAGCAGCTTAATCCCCTAAAAAAATCCATAAAACTGGTGGACCATCTAAGGGTCAAGTGGTGCAATGCATTGTGAAAATTATCCTGAAAGATGGAATAACCTAGTGAAAAAAAGCATTTTTACCTTATAAACAATTAGGTGTAACTCTTCGTAACCATCATCAGCACTGACAAATATCCTTGGAAATCGAAACTTGGCCTCTGGGTCTTTGAAATTGGTGGGTCCTGTCAAAAATCTAAAAAAAATAAATAATTGAGTTATAGCCTTTACAACATACTTTAGATTGTGATAAAACCAAGTGTGCAACAAATCTAACAGTTTAAGTAACGATGATTATATATTTAGCCTTATCATTTGATCTAATACAAGACAGAAAATGGTAAATAAAGAGGACAGTGTTCTAACTGCAAATATCCAGGATTCCACAGATTCCTCGCATAATCAAGTGGCACAGTTTGTACAAAGGATTCCATCTGTGTTGTACAGGATAAGTGTGAACACTTGGAAGCATTTGGGACATTACTTTATGCTTTTTTTTTAAGGTCAAGCCCAGTCTTGTATGACAATTATAAGATAAAGAAACAATTTGGTAGCTGGCAGCACTAGAGTGCATGTGCAAGACAAAGCATCAATGGGCTACACATACAGAAGTCAACACCACACAACTACTGTACACAAGTTTGAAGTCCAACATTGCATATCAAAGAGCTCACCTCCCATAATGCAACAAATTCCCTGTGACTTCTGGCCTTAGAGGAGAATCTCTCCCAGCCAGCTACAAACAATTTATGTAAATAATGTTAATGAGAACATGTGATTATTTCACTGAAATATTTAGTATGTGTTCTGTCTAACCTCAGGTTCAGAATGTCTGGGGAATAAAGAGGTGGTGAGGTACTTGTACAAAATCCTCATATCATCTTGTTCCAGTCCACTCCTGCAAGTAAACAGGCAAGTTTAGTGAAGACACTCACATATGGTGTTTGTGCCAAATTTAATCAAATGTAAGATGTAAGAACATGGATATTTTTAATATAAGCAAGCAGCATCATACTGTATAATACAACAAGGTGCAATTAGAGATCATAATGCTTTCAAGTCATTTTAGCAATCATATAATCCCCGGTGCTTTTGCACTGATCAGGGAGGCTCATGTGTAATTAAAGACAGGGGACATGTCACACGCACCAGAAACCACAAAGAGGATTACAGCTTGTACTATGTCTGTTCAACCAGCAGGCTAAGGATGCATTTTCACATGCAAATTTTACGATTTTGAGGTTTCAAATGTGTGCAGTGACGTACAACTACAGCTTATATTTACAAAAGGAACTGTCCGCTTATCTTACCTCCACTCTCAATTAGATTCATTGGTCCTACCACCAGACAAACTCAAGACTGAGACAAGACCAAGTCCAAATGTGCTTGAGGTCAGTCTCGAGTACTACAACACTACATTTAACTGTGGCTCAAGCTCAGTTTAGAGCTAGTCTTTGTTCATTTCTGAATGGTTTTAGTGATTTTACACACAATGCAATGCAGAACCAGGTATTTTGGTAGTTGGAGGGCAGGCCTTTACAAATAGACAAGCTTCCTACCAAATGAGTTGGTCATTGTAAAGAAAGGCCGTGTATTTGATGAGACTGAGGCTCTCCTCCACTCTGTTCACAAAGGACTGGATCTTCAAGTATGTCATCTTGTCCAGTGGGAAGAAGCTGATTCCTCCAAACACATCCAACAGATCGCAGGACTGCAAGTGGAGAGTCTGCAGATACTAGAAACCCAAGTATAGACACACACACATAAGGCAATTACAATCAGAACAGGCAGGAGACAGACACAGGAGACGGAAAAGGAGAAAGGGGTTAGCTTACGTCCATACAAGTGCTTGCTTACAGTGCACCAGAGAAAGCTGAGATAGCAGAGACAATTGCATCACACAAGGCCAAACAAGAAGCCCTGACATTCAACCTCTTGATAGGCACACAGCAATGTCTCTCTTTCTCCTGTGGTAAGGTTTCATAGTGGAGAGGGGAACCCAGGCTTAACTTAAGGAGGGTGTTCCCTAATTAGAAATGTTTTTTTAATGAGCATATACAGTTTTAATGTCTATGGCTGCATATCTCAGTGGACTGAATCACATTAGGTAACCGTAACATTACCAAGAGAATCCAGGTGTGACTGCTAATGGGGATCTACACTGAAAACAGATAATGTATGTCCAGGGATGGTTCATACAAAGGTCTTGTAAAAACACTAGCATACAAGGGTGATGAAAGAAAGCTGAATTAACATAATTTTCTTAATGTACCCTTGCAGTAGGATAGACGGTAGATGTGTTGAATTCTTTTACCCTGTAGAAGAACTTTTCAAGTTTCTGAATCAGCTGCTCAACTCCTCCAGCTTCCATTGCTCTTCCAAATGTTCCATTGAATAACTGCAACATATTATTAAGTACATTTTAATGACAACATTAACAAATACGATTCAGGCTACATTTAAATTTACCTTGTACATACTGTAGCACTGTTTTACAACTGCGCCATAAACAGTGTCCTAAAGTGAATAAAAGAGTAAATAAGAAATAAGTAAATAAGAGGAAATAAAAGAGTAAATTTTTTTTTTTTTATTACTTTGCCACCTACAAGAATTTCTTCTTCCTGGTATTCTACTGTTGGAGGTTTACCATCTTTGTTTGGCTTTTCAACCATTGGGTTTCGCACCACCTGAGATACACCAATGGATTCAAAAGATAATAACCAAAGAAAAATATCAAATATTAGCATGTTCAGGAATATTATTATTAAATACCATAACTATCCAAAAGTTTTCTTCAGGTTCAAAGAAAAACTGTCTATTTTTCTGTGTGTGCAAGGATTTAGCTGGTTTTGTTGGGCAAAAAGTCCTGGAACAGAGAAAAAGACATTTCATTAATAATTTTAAAAGGATTGCACCATGCACAAACTACACTGAAACATGAGTTTAATACCTGGTGAACTGAACAATAGCTTCACATAGGCCAACATTTCGTATCTTCTCATTCTTTTCCACATCACTGGGGTGGTAAAATAAAATCTTTTTTCCTCCTAAGAAAAGGTAAAATCAAATTACTAATTAAGTAAATGTGAGACAAAAAATATAATCTAAAAGATTCACACCTCTCCTTCCCGTGGTCCAAATGTGGGGTTGTATATAAAAAAACTAAGCAGAGATGGAGTGTACTGTTTCTCTTGCATTCCTGAAGCCATTCTGGGACTGGGACAAAGAAAACATTTTGTGAAAGCAAAAACACTCCAGCAGAATGTATAATAATTAAATAAACGTATTACCTAATCATCAGCATCAGTGTAACTTGAGTTTGGATTTTCTTTCCTTCAAAGACCTTTTGGTTATCATGCCGCAGCCTGTTGAGTAAAGAGAACATAGTGGCTGCTCGTAGCATAACACATTTTAATTCCACACTCACTAAATCATGGGCACTTCTACAATGGCATGCATGTTATAGGCACTTTACTGTACAGCACAGCACACACTACACAGATACAGCCCTTTAAAAATATTCCCCAACTAAACATTAGCTAGCATCTGTAAATCCTACATTACGAATAATTACTAAAGTAATTATACATATAGCTAAACAAATTAATTTATCTGAAGCTTTCTTATTCCTGGGTTGATTTCACTGTAAGAGTAGAAATTGTAGAATAGTTTTATTTTCTTAATATTTCTCAGTAAAATGAACTAGGCACTTTTCGCCGGTAAATTTAAAGGGGCTACCTCATTCAGTGATGCCAAACTCTCGATTCCCGTGTTTGACACTGTCTGTCATGCTGGGTACATTATGTTTTAAATTGTTACAGTAAGACCTTTTAACACTGAATGATTTATACTGATGTTGAAGTAGGCTAAGAGCTAACCATAAATGTGTGGCTAACTAAAGAAGCTAACATTATCAGAATGAGAACACATAAACATATCGGATGAAAATGTGCTGAAAAGATTATATGGAGACAACACCCACCTTACGGTAATCCATCCAAAACGTCCTAAGGCCTGCGAATGTATAGCACATAAATAAAATGTAATAAGTAGAAAAAGGCATCAGTGAAAGAGACGCCGCATTACTTTACATTCTCGACTTCCTGCTTTTGACAGTGCGGTGTTACAGAGTAAACAACTCGGGTAAAACACTTATTCAAACCCTTTTTCTGGGTTCCTAGAAAAAATAAGTTTACATTGAATCATGATAAATATTAACTTGATGCACAGAAATAAAGGAAGAGAAGAAAAGAAAGAAGAATATAACAGCAATGTAGCTTATAATCATTATGATGTCGTTCAGAGCCTTAATTAAACAATAAAACTGGGTTGGTTTATGTCTTGTCTAGACATTAATACATCAGTTCTAAATTAGGATTGTTTGAGCCATAATATTGTTTTTATGAGAACATCCACAAAGGATGACAAGAGATTAATGCAATTCATTCTAAATTAAACAAAGCCTGCAGTCAGCAGTCCCCATGTAGCCTACCAGCACAAGAAAAAGATTGTGTCATTGTTATAGTTACATTTTGACAAGGATCAGGCAACAAGACATATTAAACCTACAGGTAAATATTTTTATTCCAATTCCAATTATTTTCAACTAAAGCATGTATGTATTTACCATTCATTTTCATTATAGGGCATGTTTTATTTTATGGTTTGACAAGTCAAGGCTTGGGTCTACAAAAGGAGTATTATGCCATCTAAATTGTTTTCTTCCACATTTGTGTTAAATTTATACTTAAAGAGAGCAAACAGTCTTTACTAAAAAAAAAAAAAAAAAAAAAAAAAAAACTACTTTGAGATTTGGTTCTGTAACTGGTCCTGAACAAGAAACAACAAAAAACATATATAGACAAACCAAGTCATTTACTTTTTTACATATTTATTGATTTTGTGTTTTGTCAAAGGTAGAACATGCACAAACACAAAAAGTTAAACATTGTGTACAGCTGCCATTTTCAAACAAGTGAAAAGTCAATTAAAAACAATGATTCCTTGATTTTAATAGAAAACAAAAGATGTGTAAGTGTAATTCATTATGAACCAGGAGACTTCAGCAGTAAAAGAGGATTTGAGGATCTGGATATGTCATCACCAGTCAAACTCAAGACAGCACCATTGCCTGGAATTCTAAAAGAGAAGAGAAGAAGAAGAGGCAAATAAATACAATTGCAATAGAACTGCAAAACATTTAGAATTTTGTCATAAAAGTTGGATAATATTAACCAGTGTGTAAAAAATACTAATGAAATGCATTCAACTCTTTCTGAGCTTTAACCCGCACAAGTGCATAACTTTGCAGAGCTCATGTATACATTGAGAGAAATCAGACACCAACCCTCTGCTCCAATTCTGCCGTCATTGTCATCATCGGCTGCTGAGATAAAGCTCTTGGCCTCTGCATCAGTTAAAGTCCGTGCACCGGGGACAAATCTCTGGAGGAAAAATCTGCAGAAAAGCACATGGTCAAGCTTCATGACCCTCAGTTTTGACACTGTCACACAAAGATAGTTTATGTAACACGAAAATAAAATACAGCTTTGCCAACAGTGGATTATTGCAAGACGGCTTAATGGTGCCATCGCGTTATTACCAGGGTCTGAGCTCTAAATCTTTCTTCATATCACACAAACAATGAGCTAAGCCTACATACATCTGGGTCAGAAAGGTATCACAGTCTTCTAGAAAACAGAAGACATGTTGTGTAGTAGTTGTTTCTTAAAGATATACTCACTTAAGTTCTGACTCTTCAATGTAGCCACTGTTGTCTTCATCGAGTATCTGGAAAACATTTTTGATCTCCTGAGGCGTCTTTGAGGACAGGCCACACAGCTTGAAGAACTTCTTATAGCAGAATGAATCTGGGGCTAAAACATAAAGAATGTAACATAAAACAAGTTAAAATAGGGTTGACATGCAAAACATAGATTGGACGTAAGGATCATAACTAATCAGACAGGTGGTAAATTTACCCCTGATATTTTTCCAGTAATTTAAAATGTGGTAGTAATAAGAAATGGAAGACATAATATAACTTTGTAAAATCTATTGATGTAACACCAGTGGTATTATATGCACGTGCACCTTGACAGTCCTTGACAGCGTTGTCAATGGCCTCAGCAGAAAGGATGGAGGTGAGTGACATGATGATCCTGCAGGGTAGACAAACACTCAGTAAATTATTTACACCCACTTTCTACTCTCTTTACAGATCATACATGTCTTGACAATGCACTTTTGCTCATCTGCTTATTAGTCTATTGGATCAGTGCATCAACTAATAATTGTGTAATGAGCTTAAAAATCAGTCTTGTAATATATTTTTTTTTATATTTGAAGGAGAGCATCTTTTCTGTTGATATTTTAGTAAGATTTTTGGATTAAAATAGCTCAAAGAAAAACCTTTACAACTTGACTACAAATCCTAATGGGCTAGACCCAAAGAACAAATTAGCTGTAGTCCTATTTACAGAGCTACACCAGGACGCCAACAGGTCGTTCTTGACTCACCGGGGGTCGTAGGGTCCTCAGGCAGGTCCGGAGCAGCAGGTGTACAGCGGTGTGTAGCCCCTTCCAGGTCGTTCCTGCTTTTATACCCAGAGCCCAGGAGGTGCGTCGAAGGATGCTTGAGTTTCCAACCTGTTCACAGATCAAATTATCCCACGGCTCCTTCTCTGGTTTCCCACCTGTACACCTGCCCAATTATCATTTAGCCTACGCCTTATATCCGAGCGTGGCGCACTGCTTTCTCTTACTGCCCGATGGATTTTTTTTTTATCCAATCAAGTTTTTCTCTGATACAGCTCTCGCCGCTCCCCCTCCCATGTACCAGTCTCTTTCTCCCTGGCGTACATCCACGCACAGGGCAGGTGTGCCATAGATTAGGCAGAATCTCAGAATTCAGCTGATCTATCTATTCATCTATTCTAAACTTGTTATATTGTTCTGCTAACTTTGCATGCTCCTGTATGAATTGTTTTAGGACCTATGGACCTAAATTATTAAATAAAGCCGCTATTGGTGGTTTTCTGTCGAGTTGAGCTACCTAGCGTTACTGCGCATGCGTGCAACCCCCAAGCGCCGTTACAGTTTAAATGCCGTCGATTTGAGCTCCCGAGACAGAACTATTAGTTTTGTTGTATGTTTTGACCAGTTAAGCATATAAGCAACGACAAGTGTGTGTTAGATATGCTGCATAATACCACGTTAGATGATTGTATAGTTTGAATTTATGTATTTGATAGAAGATATAGTCCTCTGAAATTAGCTCCACGCAAATCCATCTAAATGAGTGAATAATGGTGATTCTACAGTGGGAGTATTATTCGATGGTTAAATTGTCCTGTCGATATGTGCTCCCTTTAGTCAGAGCCCTATTTGAGCAGAATACGACTGCCCAAATTACCTACCTACGCATCGTCATATAAATGAGTTGAAATTGTACATACCTAAGGTATCAAGTGTGATCACCGTGTGCAAACAGCATCAAACCCGCTGTCTCAAATCCAAAAAATATGTTAAGAATATAGAATATGTATGTATATGTAAATATGTAAAGTAGCTTATTTTGATGGGGTAGCGTGAATCGATAGACGTCACTGTCAGTTTAGGCTGAGGGTAGCTAATTTTGACGGGTTAGCCTGTTTTCAGCCGCTAGAATGTGATGATGTTATACTCAATGATGGGGGCCAGATTTTCCTATTGATTATGTAACCTTTGATTTATTTGATGCATATTTTTCATTTATTAACATTCATTTGGGTGATTATTATTTTGTATATTGTTTGGATAATTAATTTATATTACTTTTCATTTATTTGAGAGAGAGAGAGAGAGAGAGAGAGAGAGAGAGAGAGAGAGAGAGAGAGAGACGGGGTGTTACTTAAAGCGTATTGTACACTGTCCTGCCGTGTTGGTATTTTTAGTTAGCAAGGAAAATGTCAAGAAAATACAACTATAAAATCTAAGTGTAACCCGCCATACCCACAGCCTTAAGAGACTGGTAACGACGACATTTTAGGGTTACAGATTGGTGGCAGGATACTTTTTTTTGCAGACCCAGAGTTTCCACCTGTTCGTTTTAGCTGGACAGTGCTTTCAGTATGTCGCAGGAACATCAGCAGCAACAGCAGCCAGACGACGGCACAGAGGAAAACGAGACACGTGGTACCGGCGATGCCGGTGCGGGCGGCGCAGCTCCGCTACCGCCGGACATGCTAAACACTGTAGTTCATTATCGAATGGAAGTGCCGCCATGTTTCCACGGCGATGGTAAGGACAAAGAAAATTTTGCTCTATGGAAAACCAGATTGGAGCTCGCGGTTAAAGCCTGCACGGATGTACAGCAGCTAGATATAGCCACTATACTTCCCACTCGCCTTAATGGAGATGCTTTAGCATACTGGCTGTCTTTGCCACCAGCAGCGCAACAGGACTATGACCAATGTGCAGCTAAACTCAGTGATGTTTTTGGCAGGAAAGAATTTTTGCTTCATTTTCAAACTTTCGTCCATGCGAGACAGCGCTTGCCTAAAGAACCATTAGACGTTTATGCTCCTAAAATCATAAGGTTGGTGCTGGAAGCTTTTCCAAACTATGGAGAGCCAGCCATTGCCATGGAACGCTTCAGAAGATTTGTTGCCGGAATGGACCCCATTCTTCTATCGAAATGTCATGAGAATGGTGCAGCTACATTGGAAGACGCGTTAGCAGTTGCATGCAAATGGGAACGTGCACAAAAGGCTTTAAGACTACTCCTCCACTTCCACTGACTAATACATCATATGAAACAACGCCTGTGTCCAGGGACGAGCCACTTTCTACCATGGTCTTTAACAAACGTGACAAGAACCAGGCAGATCGCTCTGATGAACTGCTTGATGCCATTAAGCAACTTTCCAGAGATGTTCGGTCTCTGAAGTTACATGCTGCTGCACAAGGACATGATGTGAGCCATGCCAGACAAAGTCATGCTCCCCACAGTGATTTTTCCAAATGTGGATATGACCGTTCTGACTCCAGAGGCGACTGTGGCAGAGAAAGGTATCAACGCACCCCATCCATGTCTCCTGTCCGAGAGGCCCGCTCTTCTACACCCACCAATCACCAGTCCAGCAGGTCCCACAAAGACAACAGCTTCTCCAGGCGCTCCCCGGACCACCGCAACCATCGGCTGTTACCAGACCATCATGATAGCCACTACCTTACCGTTGGCATTCTGCAGGACCTTCTTCACCTCCTCCTCCTCACCGGGATCATCACTCCAGCTACAAGAGGCACTCCAGACCCCGCAGCCCAGAGAGATGGCGTTTTTCTCATTACTATGGTGACAAGTCCTCCCCTTACCATGATTATGACCTTGACTTTACTTTTAAAACAGGTAGACCCAGATCCCCCTCAGCACACTCAGGCAGAGATAGGCAGAGACAATATGAAAGAGACCATCATGTGACCTTTAGTGAAGACCACCACAGTCAGGGAAAAGTGTGGCAGTAGACACTGAGGGCCATGTGTCTGCTTCTAGTGCCAAGGCCCACTTCAGTTCAATGCAACAAACCAGACATAAGACATTCACCTGTAATGTACTGGCCAATATTGAGAATGTTGCTACTAAAGTATACATAGATTCTGGTTCAGACATCTCACTGATTAGTGGAGCGTTTAGAATGTCTATTCCCTCTCTGAGAACAAAAACTTTACAGCGACCTCAAGTTGTCCCTAAAGCTGTGACTGGTGACTACCTAGACCATCTTGGCACTCTCTCAGTGAACATGAGGTTTGGCAGTGAAACGTTCACACACACTGTCCAGGTAGTCAGGAATGTTACACAGCCTGTCATATTGGGCTGGGACTTTCTTTTACACATTTTGCTGTTTTAGATTTGAAAGAAGGCATCCTCAAAGTAGGTACTCGTGCCAGAGTTCCACTTTTGTCTGCTACAGAGACAGCCCCTTTGAATTGTAACAGCATTACTGTGACACCACTCCTGGTGCCGGCATTGTCACAAAATGACTGTTCTAGCTAGAGTCCAACCCACCATTGGTGTGCCTGATTTAGACACTGACTATATAGGTGTTACTGAACCAGGACTTACGTTAGAGTCATGAATCCAACTACCTCTGACTTACAGATACCCAGTGACACTAAACTAGTTGATTTTTATCCCTTAGGCCAAGACAATGACTACTGCATAGTTGAGACAAATGTAGATGCAGTTACTACCCAGATTGAGTCCACTAAGCAGTTACTGCCAGATGTTAACCTAGATGACTGCTTTGACCACTTACCAGAAACAAAAGCTCCAGGCTTTACTCTCATCTTACTGTGACGTGTTTAGTACTCATGATCAGGACTATGGCCGCACTGACTTGGTTAAACACAGCATCAGGACTGGGGACCCCTCCAATTAAGCAGCGGGCGTCCCCAAACATCCGAGCAGAGATAGACAGGCAGGTCCAGCAGCTCCTCAAACAGGACATCATTGAGGAGAGCTACAGCCCCTGGTCCTCTCCAGTTGTTTTGGAGCGGAAAAAAGATGGTACCTATAGATTTTGTATAGATTACCGTAAGCTTAATGCAGCCACCATCAAAGACTCTTACCCCTTGCCACACCCAGCGGAGGCACTTGACAGCTTGTCAGGCTCCTGTTGGTTCAGCACCATGGACCTATCAAGTGGATATTGGCAGGTTGAACTTGAGCCACAAGACAGGGAGAAGACAGCATTCGACAGTGGGAGTGGTCTTTATCACTTTAAATTTATGCCGATGGGACTGACAAACGCTGACTCAACATTCCAAAGACTGATGGAACTAGTCCTTCATGGCTTGCATTAGAAAGAGTGCTTAATCTCTTTAGATGAAATAATATGTCTTTAGACATTTAGTGACCACCTTAAGAGCCTAGGTGAAGTTTCTGAAAAGCAAGGAAATGTCACTTGGCTCAGACAGAAGTAACGTTTCTGGGACATGTTGTCTCCAGCCGAGGACTGCAGCCGGATGAGAAAAACCTGGAAAAGGTACATAAGTGACCAACGCCCAGGACGGCCACAGAAGTGAGAGCTTTTGTTGGACTATGCTATTACTGTAGTTTTGTTAAGAACTTCTCCGTCATTGCTGCCTCTCTGCACTCGCTAACTCACAAAGGTGCTAGTTTTATTTGGACAATTGAGTGTGAGGATGCATTTCAGTCACTTAAGCATGCCCTTACTAATTCTCAAGTTGTGGCACATCCTGTCTTTTCCCAACCTTTTATGCTATACACTGATGCATCACTAGAGGGCATTGGGTGAGTGTTAGCCCAGAGACAGGACAGTAAAGAACATGTTGTTGTCTATGCAAGTCACACATTGACCCCCTCTGAAAGGAATGGTCCACTTTTGATCGTGAACTGTTTCCAGTTGTTTGGTCTGTAAGACATTTTAAACATTTTCTTTCATGCAGATCCTTTGTTGTGATCACAGACCATAAGCCACTGCTGAGCCTAAATAAAACTGCAGTGGACAGCGATTCTACTGGCAGACATAGCAGATGGATTCTTGAGCTGGATGTCTATGACTATTGTATCATGCACCGGGAAGGTAAACAGCACGCCAATGCTGATGCCTTGTCCAGGCACCCCAGCAGTGAAAGACTTGACCATGTAGTGCAGTGTGTTACTGTAGCTGTCACTGACACAGATACTACTGTGGCCCCAGACACTGGTGACAATCTTACTCTTAGACTTGGAATTCTCTGTAAAAAATCAAAACAGAGTCCTCACTCACCAGTAAACTTCCAAGTGGTTTTACCAAACACACTTCTTCCCACTGCCTTAGCTGCTTTACATGGTAATCAGTTAAGTGGACATTTGAATGCAGAACGCACACTTCGAAGAGCTAGACGTATCTGCTATAGACAATTTGAATCAGACCTTGTAAAACACTGCAGGTTACTGAGTATAACTAAAACACGCACTACTCCATACCATGCACAGTCAGATAATATGGTGGAAAGACTGAACAGAACTCTGAAAGACCAACTGGCTAAGTATATAGCACAAACTGGTGGTGAATGGGATCAGTTTCTTCCACAAGTGGAACTTGCTTATAACTCCAGTGTACATTCTAGTACAGGGTTTTCTCCATTTTTCCTCGCACACGGCAGGGAACCAAACTTGCCACCGGACATTATATTGAACTGTAGTCCCACTGTGACCTCACCTACACCAGGCACACCTGCAGCTTATGCTTCTTACCTCTCGTCACACTTAACACGTGCATTTGCTGATGCAGCTCATAAGTCCACAGTTAGTAAGTTGCGTCAGAAATCTCAGTATGTCAAGAAAGTTGTGTTTCACCCACATGAGCCAGGGGATCTTGTACTTCTTGATGATTCCGCTAACAGAATGAATAAACTGGTTCCAAGATGGAAAGGGACATTTGTCATTTTGAAACGTGTGACAAAAGATGGACAACCAGGTGTGATTTATGAGATCCTAAGAAAGCACACTCACGGACATGGATTGTACACCACAATAGACTCAACGCTTTCAAAGGAGCTTTGCAGGACACTGGAAATATGGAAAAGACATTTGGACTGGACTATACTCCTTTATTGGCACCTCCCCTTACTGCTTTGTCCGGGGCTCTGCCTTTTCGTCCACCTATTCCACCATATTTACCTACACGGAGTAGGCAGCCTGAAATTGCACCTGCAGTAGAGACTACTCTTCAGAGTGCTCCACCTTCACCTCAGGTTTCTGTTCCCTCTGCTTCTCCTCATTCCTCCCCTGTTCCCAGCCCTCTGTATCCCCTCCAGCCTTCCCCATTACCTATTCAGTTGTGTCCCGCTTTGGTTGCAGAATTTGTCGGCCACATAGATACGGCGACTTTGTCACTTAATCTGATGTTTCTGCATACTGTATGGTTGTTACTTGTTATGTCACTGGTGCTATTTTCTCTGTTTATGTCATGTTGTTCTAAGATGGTCATTTGCCTTCTGTGTTTCATGGTTCATGTCAGCTGACATAATAGTATGAATGTTTTATTTGAAATGGGGACATTTCATTGTGCAGCAAGGGAAGACTGTAACCTTTGATTTATTTGATGCATATTATTTCATTTATTAACATTAATTTGGGTGATTATTATTTTGTATATTGTTTGGATAATTAATTTACATTACATTGTACTTTGCCATGAAATATCTGAAAGGTAAATTCCCAAATATGGAACCTGATCATTTTTGCTATTGACTAAACCCAAGACCATGCTATATTACAACTAAATCTGCATTTGAACAATATTCATTTTAGCTGTCCCCGATCTGTATTAAATAATATTGGCCTATAGAATGCTGTGATGTCATTTGAAACCCAGAAATTATCTTGAGTTAACCCTCAAGGCAGGGTGAGCATAGGTGAGTGTAGGTGGGGTCATCTGGTCACTATAGCAACTATCCACTAAATTTATGAGTTTGTTATCTGCAATGGGAGCCTTTGAAACCTTCTGACACAGCAGGCTCTCTGGTGAACCCAGTCAGCACTAATGGCAGTAGAAAGGTAGGGAGGATGCCAGTAATGAGAACCTGTGGGAATAAAATTCATATTAATTAAGCAAGATTTTATATTACTATTCTGTGAACATGGAATTAATATCAAATAAAGACAAAGAGGCTTTTCTGTTTTTAAAAAAAGCTGATTATATCAAGGGTTTACATGGGCTAACGCTCTAGTCTAGACTACAGGCTTGAACACCAATGCCCTCTTGTGGTTATTCTTTCATTAGTTTATTATTATTCATTATTATTTTAGCTGGTAGATTAAGGTGTGTAGGTAAGCAGTTTTGTATTTCTGTCTGTATACATTCCACATTTCACTAGTGCTATTTATTAAGTCAAAGGCCAACATTTTAAATGAAATAAGTGTCTAGCCAGATGTACCACATTATTTTTCTTTGCATTATTATTTTTCTTAACTTGTTTATCCAGTGTATGAGAGCTACTGTGTTTGCTTATATAGTCTAAACTAAATCTGTGCCTATGTACTTGATTGTTTAACATACTTTTTTAAAAGAATGTTGTTAAATTCTGCCACTATTACTTTAGGTTACTATGTTGCAAACAAAATTTGCACCAGCTGGATGATTATAAAAGAGCAATGACAAGCTTACATTACTGAAAAAGAGCCTTTAATTTAGTCTCATCGTCCGTCCATTTGTCACAAAGTACATCACCTTAAGACACTCACAGTACAACGACGACAGAAGTGAGAAAGAGAGAGAAAAAGACAAAAGTCAACCATGTCTTACACTAAATCAGGTACATTCATCATGGCAGCATAAAGGGCAGCAAAACCCGAGATCAAGGGTCACTTGTATAAAATCTTTTGCTTTGTGAGATGAAGAAAGAGTGTTTGGGAAAAAGAGAGAAATAACTCAAGTTGTTCCATTCAGAGAAGTCAGCTGATGATTCAAGTCTTCATTTAGGACTTGATCAGGGCAGCGAACTCTGCAAAGAAAAGTACATTCAAATTTAGCAATTTTTGGAGTGAACAGTTTGGGCTTTTACTTAAATTTGGGGATAAACAAGTCAACATAAGCATAGTTCCTTACCATCAACTCCGATCTTGCCGTCACCATCAGAGTCACCGGCCTTCAGGAACGCCTTGGTCTCAGCATCAGTCAGAGCCCTGGCACCAGCAGAGAAGTTCTGCAGGAACAGCCTGAAACACATTTTATTATTAGTTTAGAGACATTTAATAAAATCATCTGTTTATCGATGTGTGTGTGACAGTATTTTGCAACAATTAAAGATCTATTATTTTTTCAATTATTTCTCAATTATTATATTAATTATTTCTCAAGATCTGTTCTGCAATTGGAAATTCATATAAAAGAAGACAGATAGTGCCTTTGATTTCCACCCAATTATATCCACTAGCTTCTTACAGGTAGTGCTTTGAAAAAGTGACATCATTCTAAATTGTGGCCTACAGAACCATGATGCCATTGCTATGACAGCTTTGCCTGAGGTGAAATGTATTGTAAGAGTTGGTGCCTACTTCAGCTCGTCCTCCTCAATGAAGCCACTCTTGTCCTGGTCAATGACAGCAAAGGCCTTCTTGATGTCATCTGCGCTTTTGCCAGCCAGGCCGACCTTGGCAAAGAAGTCCCTGTAGTTGAAGGAGTCGGCAGCTGCAAAGAAACAAAAGATGTTGTTACTCAAATATGTTTCTGTACAGATCCACAATACAGCGTTCTAAACTGACAGACCATGTAGACCAGACTAGAAAATTATTATTTTTTAGCTTTTTCATAATTAAAAATGAAATACACTGTCAGTTCTTAATATCTGTGCTGTCTTTTTACAATATTTAAGATTCATTAAATTCCATGTAAGTGTATTTATATATAATAAGCAATTTATAAAGCAATATATTTTGGAGTATTATGGAAAATATTATTTGGAGTTTTATAAGTGGATTCCAGATTATTACTCTAATAGATAAATACTGTGTGTCCAAACACTATGCGTCCGAGGTTTTAGGTTTTACCTGAGCAAGCAGCCAGGGCTGCAGTGATGTCAGCATCATTGAGAATTCCGGCGAAGGCCATTTTTACTGTGAAAGAAAGAAAACAGTTCATCAGTGCAAGTACACATAATAAAGCAGGTATGAATCATGCATCAAAATGTATAGATTCAAGTTCCCATTCATGCAAAATATTTTTAATTCCCTTTTTGACTCTTTCTTCCCAATGAAAAACGTGGTCACCAAATGTAGTCCATTAGTTTCATTGGCAAAAAGATTTTTAAGCATCCTATGCAGCTTTGATTCCATTTAGTTCCTTGGTAATTCCAAAGTCAGAAGTAAGCTTGTTTCCTTGGTATGGTCCCAAAGCCCTGAACGTAGATGAGGCATGAGGCTGAGTAGCTCCTCTGTGACACTCACCTTAGGGTTAGCTCTATGAACTAAAGTGGAATTTGCTCAGATGAATCTGCTCACTGCAGTAAATGTCCTGGTGGTACCGTCCTGCTTATATAGTGGTGGAAATATGATGCATAGGCTATGTAATAGACACTGTGGCAAAGCAGTCATTGCAGTCGGTCAAAAAATGTGTCCAGTAGACAGAGCTGTTCTATTTATATGTACATAAATGAAGATGCTTAAATGGTAGGCTACATAGGCTTATGCAAAAGTGCTTGATATTGCATAGCGCTAATAATATACGCTGCTGATTTGGATGAAACTTCTTCTGTCCTGCTACATGGACCGAGAAAGAGGTAATTTTTTACATGAAATTCAACTGGAAATTTTGGCCACATGTCATTATTTTGTAGGATTTTCAAACCCAGTGGCTTTATATTTTGGTAATGGTAAAACATTTGCTTTGGCAATACCACCAGGAAGCTCTCCTAGCTTCCTAAAATTATACTGGTAAATCAGCATTTGAGTGTAACAGTTGGTGACTGATGAGGTAATAACAAGCTGAATTTACCTCGTGAAGCGTCATCATTAGCCTGTGCGTAAGTGGCATGTGTAACATGTTTGAAAGGACTTGGCTGACATCATCATCATAAAACATTAGTCAGTGGTCAGTTTAACACTTAAAGTTCAAGATTTGGTTGAGAGCGATGTAGATGAGTAATTTGTGTAGGTGTGATGAGGATTTTGTCTTCGTATACAAATGCGTTATCCTTACAACTCTGGTTATTTATTGAAATACTATTCATAAATCTAAAATAAATACATTCATATAAAGATAAACAGACTAGGTCTTTTGACTTGAGAGGAGATTGATAATTTCTTTCCACTTACATGCATGCTTATGCACAGATGAGAAAAAGATTTATCTTTCAGTCCATATGATTATTAAAAAGTTATGTGGCTATTTTTATCATTACTGGAAGCTGATACTAAGGAATTACCACCATAATCACATTGGCACCATGGAGTTATGTAGTTACAATGCCGTAATCTGTTTTACTAACTGGGCTTTACCTTCTGTGCAACTTGTTATGTCCACATCACTCATCAGAGGGCAGTGTAAGTTGGAGACACCTCTAGCCTTCTGATTTATAATCCTTACAAATCCTGATAAGCCTTGATATAAATGCAGGTGAAATTTAATTAAGAGAAGCCCTTACACCCAATGGTGTTGACTTCAGGATTAAAGTCCTACAGCAAATCCAACACATTTGTTCTGAAAAAGATCCTTCTGTGGTAAGAAACACATTTTATGCTCACGTTAGTCACATATTGTTTTTTGAATTGTTTTAATTAAACCTCGTTATAGCTGGGCAGTATGTCACTCTAATGTGTTGTTGAATCCAAATCCACTTTTATTATGGAGCTAAACAGTGTGCTTTAAAAGTTGGCTCTGGTCAAATGAGGTCTGTCACCTCACACGACACAGCCCTAGATACTGCAACTATTCCTGCCCTTCTTCAATATCAGGTTTATGTTACAAATCTCACAGCGGGATGAGACACAT